AGCCACAGCATACTACTTGCCTATTTAAGTAAGATCTACTGCAACATCTACTGTAACAATTATCTCCAAAAGAAGACACCCTTTCTTCTGAGTTGAAATATATACTGTATCAAATTTTAAAAAGATAATCAGTGTAAAAGGGAATCCTATCTCCAGCATCAATGGCCATCTAATATTTTTATGTAGAAGATTTTTTCCTATATTAAATATGTTGCTTTAGAAACAATTGGCAGGTTGCACTATTGTTTTTGACTTCTTAAAAAAAGTGTTGATATATTTGACATGAAACACAAAGCTGTGAAAATTGCATCATGCTGTATATAAGATGACAAATCTGGGCCAATACAAATGTCTGAAAAGAATAGTTTTGAAGAAATGTAGAACAACTATTGTGTTAGACGGGAACACAAAGGGAATGACATCAGCCTTTCAAAGTTGAAAACTAAATTTGAACAACTAAAAAGTCAAGTTTCAACACGACTGAACATTACAAACTTTACATTTGATGGTGCGAAGCCATGAGTATTATTGGATGGACTGCATAACTTAGTGGTAGAGCACATACTTTGAATGATAAAGGTCATAGGTTTGCTCTCCCGCATCTCTAGGTAGGACTGGAGATGAATCCTATATGAAACCCTGGAAACTACTAATCGTGGTAGACTTGCCTTCCTCAGCCAGATGCCATCCTAGTGTTTTGACTACAACTCCCAGCTGTGCTGACTGGGGCTGAAAGGAGCTGTAGTTCAAAATATCTGGAGGGCACTAGGTTGAGGTAAAGCTGGTGTATGCTATACTGAAGTAGGGTGAACAAACTTATGATGCTCACTATAAGGCAGCTTCCTTTATCCTAGAGTTCTTTTGACTTCTTCCATGCCACATGCAGAATTTGTCAAAAAATTATTCCATTATTGCTATATAAAGCATGTTTGAAAGTTCTTTATCAAAATTACTATTAAATGCTGTTATGGAGAAGGAATGTTGAATTTTAAAAAGTTTTTCATCCACACCCACATCAGTTCCTGTTGTTTTCCTTTCTTAGAAATGAATGTTGCTCTCTCCATTTCTTCTTGTACGAATATTGGGAAGCAAACTTCAGATCATACCAGTTGATTTGCTTCCACCCCCTACTCTCCTCAGTGCAGGGAGAGGTGAGAAAAACAACTGGGTGTGGATTACTAAATGGAGGTGTAATCCAAGCAAGATAGAGCTGATTCTAGTCTACCGATTATGAGTTAACAACACAGTTTGCATTAGAATGGGCTGCATTTGCCCTGATAATTTTTATTTTTTTTGCAACTTGGGGGTGTTTCTCTGTAGTAAAAAGAAAGGAGTGCATTTGCCAAGCTTAGGTTAATTGCCAACTATGCATGTCTTAGTTACGGCTGCCACATGTCTGGAATTTCCCGGACATAGCCAGAATATAGCAGTCGGAAACAGTGTCTGGGCGAAAAATTCCTGAAATTTGGATGCATGGCAACTCATGTCGGAAGTTCAGATTTTGGCAAATTTCCATAAGATTTGGCAACCCTATTCTTAGTAAAGAGAGAACTTGCCATGATAACTCATGCAGTTAGTTGTCTTAAATGGCTGGGAGTTTCAAAGCTACATCAAAGCAAAGACTTTACATGGAACTGCCTTTGCAAAGTATTTCATGTAGCCCAAAATGCAGCAGTTAGAATTTTAGCAGGAACCAGCTTTATGGAAATATGCCTCTGTTGCTATTACAGTGGTACCTCCGGCTACAGACGCTTCAGGTTACAGATGCTTCAGGTTACAGACTCCGCTAACCCAGAAATAGTACCTTGGGTTAAGAACTTTGCTTCAGGATGAGAACAGAAATCGTGCTCTGGCAGCGCAGTGGCAGCAGGAGGCCCTATTAGCTAAAGTGGTACCTAAGGTTGAAAACAGTTTCAGGTTAAGAATAGACCTCCAGAATGAATTAAGTTCTTAACCCAAGGTACCACTGTATGAGGTTCTGGTTCATTTCTAAGCTCAATTGAAGGTGCAGCTTAAAGAATCTATTTGTTTAATTACCAATCAGTCATGGTAAGGTAAAGATACCCCTGCCCGTACAGGCCAGTCGTGTCCGACTCTAGGGTTGTGCACCCATCTCACTTAAGAGGCCGGGGGCCAGCGCTGTCCGGAGACACTTCCGGGTCACGTGGCCAGCGTGATGAAGCTGCTCTGGCCAGCCAGCACCAGAGCAGCACACGGAAACGCCGTTTACCTTCCCGCTATAAAGCGGTACCTATTTATCTACTTGCACTTAGGGGTGCTTTCGAACTGCTAGGTGGGCAGGAGCTGGGACCGAAAGATGGGAGCTCACCCCGCCGCGGGGATTCGAACCACCGACCATGCGATCGGCAAGCCCTAGGTGCTGAGGTTTTCCCCACAGCACCACCCGCGTCCCTATCAGTCATGGTACTATTCCTTTAATCTCAGTGTCCCTGGTTAGTCTCCTTCTGTGCTCTTGGCCCTATTGGTATTGAATGCCAGAGCTACCAAGCCAAACAAAGCACACCTGCCATGCATGGTAGCCCTAGGCACTTGGTAAATCTCCAGGTTTTGCTTTCTCCTTGGGTCTGCAAACAAAGGTCATGTTGAGCATTTCTGGCCACTATACTTAACTTAATGGACTGCATATGGCTTGATGTCTTACAAATTGCACACCTTTGTGTTAATTGCTTCCCTATAAGTTCCTTGAATTCTTTTTTCTGCATGTGACACTTTATAGCCTCGTTTAGTTGCACTGTCTGTTTATTCAGAGCATAGACACATATATATTATCCATCTTATGAATGTAGGGGAACCCTGCCTGCCATTTTGATAAAGTGTGCATGTTCGTGTTTAAGCTGGATGCATTTCAGAATTGTGTATGGTCTTACAATTCCATGTTTCTATATCTGTGTCATTGAACAAATTGAATTTTATCTATTTCTAGTCGCAGGAGGGCATGGTACCAAAACATAAAATAATAATTAAAAATAATCAAAATCTGTAAGTCGATGAAATGCTAATTCCCTTTTTAAAGATATTGAAGCAAATAATTAAAACTGGAAGGAAAAACATACCCAAGAGCTTTTTCTTTAACGTGTGTTGCAGTTTACATTAAATATTACATTAAACATTTATTTCCAATGATGAGGCCCACAATCCTTTGCAGAGCTCATTGAAATCCATGGACTTGGGTGAATCTAACTCTGCATACATTCAGGCTCTTACTAGGAGGTAAATCCTGTTTTGTTTGCTAGACCTACTTTTGAATATCTCAAAATACTGTGAAACTGTTTCTTAGATTCCTGGTGGCTCTGAATGGATGAATTTACCTTAATAAATATCAGCAACAAAACAGAGTACTATTTGTTTGAAGTCTCCAATAAATATTTTTCAGTTCAGTAATGCTTCGTTGCCCATTCAGTAGTACATAGGTTATAAGAGCTGAATAAGATATTTTGAAGTCACCTAGATACTTCCCTCTGACTTCAGTTGCAGTAGAAATGAGTCATAATGTGTTGTGCTTTCTGATTCACTCATGTGCTGGGTGTGTAATGTTTTGGTTATGAACAATAAAGGGATTGTTTATGTAGGCACTAATTTGCAGCAGTACACACCTGGAAATAATGTATTTGTAAAAGCTTCTAACAAATATATTTTTGACTAGATGTGAATTCCTTACCCACCATATTTCATGTATATTTAGAAAGTTCCTATAAATAAACTGTTATCCCTGTGGTTAAACATTGCATTTAAGGTGGAAAAAACAAAGTTTATGAATGAATTATTGCTATAGTTCCCAGAGTATCAGCTATATTGGTAAATTTAGAAATATTGAACATTCAGTCTTCTTAAAATTTATCATGTTTATATATTCTTTTCTCATTCAGACAGTTCCTCTTTTGAAAAGGAATATGATATTTTACATAGTAAAAAAATCATTTAAGTGTTAACATGAATTGATTACCTTTTTCAGACTGAATTTTAAACAGATTATAATGAAGCTTTGCTGACAAGTCTGGTAGTATTTTATGCTTGAAAAATTTAGAAGATGAAGAAATAATTATTTTGACTGAAATGGTGGTGTTCAATTTATGTTACTCGGTTTTAACAAGAAAACATGCAACACTTTATTCATTCATTATGAGCTGATTGAAAAGAATTAATAGGAGCAGTGGTTTAGAGCACACTGTGTGAGCTGAGCAAAGCTCAGTGCAGTCTAAAAAAAAAGGAAGCAAGTAGTAAAGCATGCAATAGGCTACAGCTAATGCTTTGCGTCTCCTGATGTCTTCTGAAACGTAAAAAATCTACAACAGGCAGATCTCTGTAACGCATCACTGGTAGAAAGGTTCTATTCAGATTTTAGCGTTTTAGCTTGCCTCTGATGACCTGCTATTTTCTGCATTTGTTTTGACTGCTCTCATCATTCAAGATTGATGCTTGGATGGGTGTGTAGGTGGAAGCAGCAGTAGCAAGCTTACAGCTTACAGACAAAAAATCTGCCTTATCTGATGGCTATTATTGAAAATGCGAGGTGTAGCCTAGGCTGTGTAATGAAGGGGAGCGAGCGAGGGGGAGCAAGGAGCATGGAGCTGCATACTGATGAATGTAGGAGTATTTGATAAAAGATTTCTTGCTGCTAGCAGTGCATTGCTCATGGTGGAGTATTCCGACAATCACATATAACAGAAAACAGCTCAGCTGACAGCTTGATATGCCTTTTCCCCTCCACTGCATGACGTACTGGTCTGTAGTAGAGATTAATACCTACGAAATGTTGAGGTAGGAGCAGATCTTACTCTATAGCTTGCACTGGAAACTATGTGCTACTTCTGACTTTCTTTCTTGCTGGAAGCATTCATTTGACAAGCTGGCGGGCTCCTTTGATACCAATTTTTCTCGGAACACAATGTGGCAATGCCACCTCTCAGCCCAGGACCATCGTTATTATCCTGTGGATGGATATTCCCTGCTTAAACGCCTCCCTTCTCAAACTCTTTCAGCACCCAGATGCCCTGTCCAGACTGTGGGACAATGGTTGGAAAATATTGGGCTACCTCAGTATGAGAACCACTTGCTGGCTAATGGATTTGACAATGTACAGTTTATGGTAAGTGATTTTCTCTGTGTAATATTGTGTGCTGATGTCTGGTTCTTTGCCTCATGAAATCTTATACAGCATAGAAGGGAATCTGTTTTGTGTTTTGCAGTGTGCTTTAGGATAAAAATGCATTTGCATAATCCTATCTGCCTACCAGTACGAGCAGCGGATTTGGGAGCCACAGTTCTGCTTGGTTCATATTTCATTCCAAAGCATTTTTAAAGAAAGTAAAAGCGTGATACATCTGGACTACCCCTGAGGGGGTGTGGAATCAGTTTTTCTTTCTATGAGGACAAGTGTATCGGTAGGGAACAGATTACCCTAGTTAATATTGAAATTATGTAAAAATAATTAATCTCCATATTCAATTCTAAATGTTCAAAAGGACTGCTGTGTGTTGAGCTTTGAAAAAGAACTATATCCCTAGTGCATAGAAATGAATGGCTGTTCCTTTAAATGTAAACCTAAAACCCACCTACATTTAACTATTAAAGAGTTAACAGAGATGGATAAGCCAGATTTCTTTGGTATACAGTGTCCCTATTTTGTGTAGTGCTTTAAGCTATGAAAGCTTTCGACAAATATGACCATGGACAGGAAGAAAGGTAACTTAGTTGATAAGGCAATAGCCTACCCTTTTGTATACACCTTCCAGTTCCTAGATGTAGTACCACTCACCACACCTGTTGTTCACAAGCTGTTCTTATAACACATTTCACTATATTTTCTGTGAAGTCAGATTTTTATGTGCTGCAGTGTTATTGCCATAATAGAAAACTTGCATACGCTATATGAAATGCATAGTTTTGTGTCAATGCACAATGGTGATTTTCTTAAACATGTAAAAAACCTTTATGATAAACTAAGATTTTAGATTACAAGGTGGTTCTAAAGCATTTGAAAAATATATCTATGTGAAATATTACCAACTCCTAACGTCTAGGCTATATTAATCCAATTTCTTCATACAATAAGATTTTGCACACTGGATTGAGTATAAGAATCTAATTTTATGCAGATCAACCATCAATGGCTCTAGATCAGGCCCTGTGATATACCTATGCAGATATTCCCATTTATGATTTAAGCATTAAATGTCCAAGGTAATTCAAGGATTACATGAGTTCTTTCCCCACCTTTGTATTGTAAGATCAATATACAATTGTTGCAGTAGTGTATAGCTGCTTGTACAACAAGGGATTAAATTAGCACAAATTTGGATGAAATGTTAGGTTCTTATAATCAGTTAAATTATTATACAACCAGTAAGGAAGAAAGTAAAAGTAATCATAAGTGATAAAATATGCCATGTTATTCATAGCCATGTTATACTGCTGTTACATTATTATCTTGGATACTTTGAAAAGATTAACCAATATCCCATCTTCAAATCTAACAATTTTAAGTGACATATATACACTGCAGTTGCATATCATAAGTTCCTAGCATACTAAAAAATGCACAGTGTAACCAATGATTATTAATGCTAGAGAGACCAAATAGCATTTACATTCAAAATACTGAAAAGTTGCTAGTCTGCTGAGAAAGAATAAACTTGGTTAAGATAAAACATATATATTTTGTTATTTTCTGGCATTAAATAATTGCTTATCCACTGAACATTTTGATAGTGCAGACCTGTACATGTCTACCAAGAAGAAGGCTCCATTTAGTTCAGTGGAACATATTAGAAAGGAAGTGGGTTATAGGACTGCTGCCTGATTCTGTTTTATGAATGCTTATTTCATCAATGGAATACTCAACCCCATTATCAATTTTAATTCCCAGTTTTGAATTGTTATATCAGGACAGGCACTATTAATTTGACATTATTATACTTCCCATTTTGTTTTTCTAGAAATACAGTTTGATGCTTATTTGTTTTCCTGTTGCCTAAGCAACACCATCACACACCTTTTTAGAATTAAGTAGTAATGTATGTCTTACTAGATACTTCATGGAGGAATACGTATAGTTAATGGTGATAGAATTTTCAGTATATGAGGAAATATGTTAAGGCAGCTCTCAACAACAGTGCTATATTCATTAAAATCATATAAAGTCTAATGTTTTTTCTCAAATAAAAAGCAAACTTGATAAAGCATTCATTAGAATAGTAGAATAGCCCTTGGGTTTATACTCCTTTGGCAAGAAAAGTAAGCATTTAAATACCACATAAATTTATTAGAGATATTGTTAGCAGCTTATGTACATAGAATGAAGAAAAACAATCTCTATTTGTTTTACCTACATTTTTCAATTTATTTTCATTATTTTTCTGTCATTGTTTACACATGCAGTATGCAAGTTATGTCTTGCTTCCAAACATGTTATATTTTTAGAATATTTTTGCCTATAGTGAGTGAAATTCTGTAATCCTAAAATGTTGATGCACAAAGCATCATAGGCAACCTGTTGATGGCTCTACCTAAGTTGAATTTCAGAATGTAGAAAACAAGTCACTAGATGAGATGGCTATGCTTCAGTAGATCCATTTATAGTACCACCAGTAATCTGTCACAGAGTAAGTTGTATCCTTTGAAAGTAAAAGTTGGATAATGGAATAGTGTGCACTTGCTGAAAGGACAATGATGACATCAAAGACAATGCAAAGCAATGATTAGTGTGCTATTTAACTGACTGCTAAGACAGTGGAAGAGTTATATCCTTGCAATTAGGGTACTTCAGCTAATTGCAAATTATAGCATCCCGTCTGGCCTAAGCACTTAGGAAACCTAATGAACTAATGGGCATAATTCTTTTTCAAAGATTTTTAACTCTTCTATTCCCAGTATAACCTTTATGCACACTCGGGAAAGTACTGTAAGAGATCTGATCAGAGCAAACTTGAATTAAAAAACTGGATGATTGATATTTAAAATATATTTGATTACAGCTTTGCACTGGAATTGGGATAACATTTGGTTTCAGTAGAAAAACAGCTAAGCAAAAATTTAGAATGAGCCAACACATGATGGATTTGGAAAACCACATTAACAGACTTGATGTCATTTTAGAGAGGTGTCAAGAACCAACAGTCATAGTCAGGATATCAGACTTAAATTAAAAAAAAACAGAATTCCGAAATAAGCTTAGAAAAGGCAGACTGAAACTTATAAAGGTCTGTTTCTTTGTTCCTTTAGTCAGTATTTGTGGGAGTGTCTTAAAAGAAGCCCAATCTCTCCCTACAGTGGTTATTTGGGGTATGAAGGGAAGGCTGTATGCCCATGTATAGAATAAAATGTTTTGTTGGCATCCGTCTGTCTTGAGAGACAATCAAGTTCACCCCTGGAGATGAAGTCAAACCGCTGGACAAACACAGTGCCTGCTGTGGCTGCAGTGACTGGTAACTCATAACTGCTGCCTCCCGCATTGTTTTTGCAGCATTAGCAACAGCGAAGTGATCTCTCCGGGCGCAAACCTGGGCAGTGTATATGGAGGTCCTCAGCTGCCCAGACAACATGACCCCCCTCTTGGCCTCACTGATGTGGTCCAAAGGAAAGCAGAGCAATACATTTGGCACTAGCTTTGCTGCAGGAGTTGCTGGAAGGAGGCACACAAGGTGCCATACAACTGTCTTAGGGATTCCTCTCCAGATTTGTGTAGGGTTTACTCTTTAGCCTTTTCTTCTCTCAAAGATGTCCCACAAGGCAGCAGGCATGGATTATTCTTCAGGGTTTGTTCCGAAAGCCTTTCTCATGGATGAGTATAGCCACAAGGTTTAGGATCAGAGTTTGATTCCTTTTCCTAGATGGGCTATCTTGCCAGGTTGGCAAGCCACACCTGCCCCTATAGCATAAAAAATAGAATAAAAACCCTTCAGGTATCTGATGGAATAGGTCCTAGTCCACAAATGTTTATGTTCAGTCCTTTTTTCCAAGAAAAAGAGGTGCTGGAGCTGACCATGAAAACCTCCCTTGCTCTTATAATGGCAATGGCGCCCAGCTGAGAGGTGCCAGAACTGAGTTCCTGTGAGCTCCAGCTGAAAAAAGACCTGCTTATGTTATACAGTGGTACCTTTGGTTACAAACACTTCAGGTTACAAACGCTTCAGGTTACAGACTCCACTAACCCGGAAGTAGTATCTCGGGTTAAGAACTTTACCTCAGGATGAGAAAAGAAATCGTGCGGCAGCAGGAGGCCCCATTAGCTAAAGTGGTACCTCAGGTTAAGAACGGTTTCAGGTTAAGAACGGACCTCCAGAATGAATTAAGCTCATAACCAGAGGTACCACTGTAATAATATATCGACTTTAAGATGTTAGACATCATATGTTGTTTTGTTGCAGAAGAGAACTAGATGTAAGGAATGAGCCCAATGGGGTCAGTTCTTACCCCCACTTTAGATAGTCACTACTACAGCATGGAATGTAAGAACCATGAACCTGGGTAAGTTGGATGTGGTCAAAAATGAGATGGCAAGAATAAATATTGACATCCTGGGCATCAGTGAACTAAAATGGACGGGAATGGGCGATTTCAGTTCGGATGACCATCATATCTACTACTGTGGGCAAGAATCCCGTAAAAGAAATGGAGTGGCCTTCATAGTCAACAAAAGAGTGGCGAAAGCTGTACTGGGATGCAATCTCAAAAATGATAGACCTTTTTACCCTTTACCTTTTAACATCACAGTAATCCAAGTTTATGCACCAACCACTGGTGCTGAAGAAACTGAAATAGACCAATTCTATGAAGACTTACAACACCTTATAGAAATGACACCAAAGAAGGATGTTCTTCTCATTATAGGGGATTGGAATGCTAAAGTAGGGAGTCAAGAGATAAAAGGAACAACTGGCAAGTTTGGCCTTGGAATTCAAAACGAAGCAGGGCAAAGGCTAATAGAGTTCTGCCAAGAGAACAAGCTGGTCATCACAAACACTCTTTTCCAACAACACAAGAGACGACTCTACACATGGACATCACCAGATGGGCAGCATCGAAATCAGATTGATTATATTCTCTGCAGCCGAAGATGGAGAAGCTCTATACAGTCAGCAAAAACAA